CTAGCAGTCAGAAGGCCCAATGGAAACACTTTAATTTTGCAACACATGGACAAGACTTAACCTTAATTTCAACAAAGAAACCGTGAGCATTCTAGACCAAGCAAAATAAAAAAAACCATTAGGGAATTCCAGAAAGCTTGGCACTGAAACAAATCAGCCATCAATAGGGAAATAGGGATAAACCATCTTTAGCCATTATTCAATACACTAAAAAAGAGAAACTAAAAAGAAAACAAACACACCAGAATGCCTCCTCTCCAGTCATCAACATTAAGATAAACAGGGATTAACACCAGATAAACAAGCAGTAAACAATATCCTAATCGAGGAACAACCAACTTAATCAAGCAGTAAACAACAGCCTAATCAAGGAACTACCAAGGAGGAAGCAACACCCCCACCAACAATGTCAGGGTAAGCTACTATTTATAAGTAGAAACAAACCCCAGTCCTTTCTGGCACTCAAAATGTCAGGTAAAGCAAACAACCAAGTTTAGGATTATATAGATTTCCACAAATTACTTTATAGCTGAAAACTGTCATGCACATTAGAACAGCTCAACAGAAACAAACTTCAGATCCCCAATGATAGCGTCTACATGATATACTCATTGGGTTTAATGATTTATACTTTATACAATTCTGCCTCTGTAAAAAGAGTAATTCCCTGACAGTTGAAAGTCTGAATTGGCAGTTGTGACAGGATATAGAAGCAACCATCAAATCAATCTAGACTGTCTGTAGCTTTATTCTTATAGTCCCTACTGTTTGAACTAACTAGATACAACATAGCCAAAAAAGAGTGTTTCAGAGAACCAAAATTTAAATTGATCAGTGTTCGTTAAGTATATTTCAAAATTTGAAAATATAAGTGTCTTAGGTACAGGGTTTCACAAATCTTCTACAGTAATGATTTTTTTTTTCTGTACAATTTGAAAAGGATATCCACTTCAATAGAAACTTATGCCTATTAATAATCTGATAGAGCATTGGATCCAACAAGGAGCATGTGGAAGAAAATTCTGTTAACACATGTCCCCAAGATATTAGTATTAGTAATGTATATGCTTTTGCTGGAAATAATGAAAATGTACACATTACCAAGCTTGGCACATCATGGATATGATCAAGTGTAAGAAGCAAAAGTGTTAATATAAATGGCTTATCTGGATCATCAGTAGTACCCAAAAACATGCATAACTTTCATACATAAATGTCATGTTAAACATGCAAAATAAAATCAAAAGTTTACCTAGAAAGATACTAGCACAGCAAACTGACTTGGTCCTTTCCTCAACACCAAAGAATAGAAAATCAGATTTAATTAAATGTTACTATTTTATTTGTGAAAAAACTACAAGCAGAATTCATAAATAGACATTTCTATTTAAAGCAAGAAAATGATAAAGTGGCTTCTAATAACAGTCGTGCACATGCCGGTAACAGGAATATATTAACATCTTTTATTTGCTAGACAAAGAGCAGTGTCCAATATAAATTTCCCGAAAACATTTAAGACCTGTGAATTTTTCTGACCAGTTCACAAAATCACCATTGACACTTTTAGCATGAAGATTAAAAACAAACCTAACAGGACTGTCAGCTCTAAAGACTTTACAGAGCAGAAAACTTCCAAAGCGTTATACAAGCTGTCTTTCTGGGCAAATGAAAAATATAGCTCGTATAATACATTAACATAAAAATTCACAAGATAAAATTATGTTTTGACATACTTAAACAAGCATTCTCTATTTGTCTCCAAACAAACAAAGCTAAAGAAATAATGTAACCATCTTTACACAGTAAATTAAGGTTACAAGTCGTACACAAGAACAGAACTGCTTGCGCATTAAAAACTGTTCAGCTCCATTGTCATATTGTAAATGTTGGCTCTCAAATCATTTTTTTCAGTTACATACAAGCAAAGGTTATATAGTCAGCAAGTAATAACTTCAATAATTTATGGTAACAGTTTTAAAAAAGTAGACTGGAAATGGTACTGGTAAGGCAGATGTATTTCTATGAATATAGCCACTGCCCAATTTTAAAATAGAAACTGAATTTGAATAAGCAAAATGCTTTCAATTAAAACTGCCCATCTTAAACATTTTTTTTTTGCTTTTCATTGTTCTCTTTGCATGACATATTTAAAATATTCAAACAGAGGAAGTCAAGCAAGCTGTTGTGTGCATGGGTGTGCATGTGTCTGTATAAGTGTAAAAATTTAACTTTGAAAATGTAACACTGTGCTTTTTCCTTACCTGCTTTCTGTGCCACTGGCTACGAAGCGTTTCTGGCCCTTCTTATACACTAGTATTTTAAAGCATGCTCTCCAACGACTGAATAGTTAAATGAAATGCAGGAAGTTAAGATCATCCAATTTTTTTAATCTCATGCTTTTAAAAAAAGGGTGTTTGCTTGGTTACAACACAACGGCAAGAAATGCGGCCCAAGAAAGTTTGAATGCTTAGCTGACAATTTCAGCCAAATGCAGTTTCAATCACTCCACTTGTGCCGAAGGTGGATTTGCATACTTTATTCTAACAAGCTAATATAGCACAGAGGCACACATACTGTAGGGGGAGAAAAAAAAGGAAAAAGAAAACCCAAAGAGGATTTCACTGAATTGGTAAGCCAATGAGCAGCTCATTACGGTTAAAGCTTTTATTCCCTAACCTAAGGGACAGGTTTCACCCACCAACTCCTGCTGCTTACCCATTGGAATGACAGCCCACAAGAAGCCACCTTAGGAATGAATGGAGCAGCAATAATTGGAGGGTGGTATTCGGTGTAACTGGTCTTCTTAACATGCACACTGCTTCCTTTACCCCACCCAAGGCTGTATTCTAGCAAGCCACAGAAGGAAACACACCATTTGTGAACTTCCAGCAGACATGCTCAGAAATTGGGTCTCTGCTGGGAAGGAGCTAAATGCATACAGGTCTAATTCATTCAGATGTAAGTTTAAAAAAAAAAATCTGTGCAAATCACACACATCTGGGACTAAGTTGAAAACATCTCTAAAAATTATTTTTTTCTCCAAAAATAAATTATGGCTGACCAATTTACCCTCCCTGAGATCCTTTAAAGGAATAGTCAAACTTGTAAAAGGAATGTTTACCAATGTTAAAACGTGGATTGATGTGGACTATTAAAAACTACGATAATATTGTATTATCAGAGCTTAAGAAACATCTGTTTTTCCTTTGGTTCTTTTTTTATTTTTCAATAAATACGTTAAAAATAAGTTTTCAAAAAAGGAAAAGAATAGCTATAAGAACAACTGAATGAGAAACCCATCAAAATGGATGCAGCTGCAAAGGCACTGCTCTGCTACTCTACCTCTTTGAGCAGAATTACTTTATTCAGTTAAGCATAGGTTAAAATTTTCAGACTGATATAAAAGAAGTTTGTGTTTGCGGCTTTAAAGTGATAAAACACAACCATTTCATGCCTCTCTAGAACAGAAATAATTTATATTATTCAAACAAGAAATGAGTACAGTAATTGTCTAGCACCAAGTTCTGCCAAGTGGCCCTTTGAGAACACCTACGTGGTAATCATTCTGATAAAACTAAAGATGGTTACTGAAATTATAGCAAAGCACTCTGGGTCGCCTAAAAAGCACACAATGAAGAGTTTGAAGGTATTGTTTAAGTGTTCCGTCTTCTTTCTAGTGTTTTATGCAGAAAAACATACCGGCTAGATAAAACTGTAAGAGTTTGGATTTGTAAGTAAACGTTCTCCGAATAGCTTTCGAAGCGAGAATTGAAGTCCATTTGCCATTCTGATGCTCCCTTATTAGTATAAAATGTCTTCACAACTTTAGCTCTCATACCAAGTTATGTTAAAGAGATATGTCTAAGCACTGATAATCCTAAGGAAATGGAATTAAACGAATTAAATTACTAACAAAAAAGCAGAGTCAGATATAGAAAATTTGCACTGAAAACAAGTCATGTGACAATAGATCTCGGTTCATGTTATTATTAGGGGAGCACTTATTAAGGCTTTGGACTGCCTTCTACTACAAAAGCTGTCTGACATTTCCCCACGGATATTCAAAAAACTTTCCCATCACCAATATAAATCTGGACAATAAGAGAATGAGATTTGTTATTCAAAATAGGCAGTGTTAATGTGCAGCCACAAAGTACATTAATACTAAGCATTTTGAAATCGGTGTTATTCATTGTTTTTTTAAAATTTGTACACTGTGGTAGGAAAGGGCTAGAAATTTATTGTTTTCCGATACTCTAACTGGAAATGCTATGACTTGGAGCACCCTTTTGGATTTCAAAAAGAACAGAAAATAAGAAAATAGATATCTATTTTTGTCCAGTACTCTTCAGCCAAAGCACAAGAGAAAAACCAGGTCCTGTTTCTGTTAGAACCTCTGGGAACACTTTGTTGATCTAAGACTGGTTCCAGTTCGGTTTCAGCACTCGCGAAACGGCACTCACTGTCCCAGATCTTAAATTGCTTAGCTTCACAGTGTTTCAAGCACCAGCGTTTCCATGTATTGGTTTCAAATAACCCTATATATACTTTATTTATATATATATTTATATATTTATATATATATATATATAATTTATATCAAAACTGATAGTACACAGTATAACTGGAAGAGGGAGATTTGAACTCAAAAAATATGCTGAAAAAACAAGAGAGAGTTTGTGAATACAATAAATAAAAACCCTCCTATAAGCCCGCCCTTCCCCTTACATCACATTCCCTCACCCAAAACAAAACTAAAATTGGTGGTAAGATTCATGGAAAAACTGTGCACAGCAGATTTATAAAAAAGTAGAGTCAGGAGCACATCCAATTATAAATGATTGTTAGGAAAATCATATAAAACAATGGAATACATAAACATCAGAAAGTAATTCTCAGGGTGCGAAATTCCTTGGTAGCCAGATGCCCACAGTCAGACCAAAGCGTCCCGGTGTCATCAATTAAGGGAAGGATATCCAAAACGCATGTTGAAGCACAAGGAAAAAAGGAAGAAGTGGCACTGGCAGCTTTGTCAGGTTGTCCCAGTGGACAGGTGGAACATTTGAATTTCATACCCTGATTTCATAAGTTTCCCACAATTCCATGTGCAATTCTCAGAAAGATTCATCGTTGACTGCTGACATGTCGCCCTTTGGCGTAGAAGAGCGGGATGAGCCCTTGTCTGTGCTCTCGGAGCCCGAGCTACTCTGATTTTGCTGTTCAGATCCAGCACTGGAGGTCACTGTGGATGAAGATGTGGAAGAAGAGCGAGTCTTTTCTTTAAAGTCTGTGATAATTACTGTGACATTCCCTACTGTGACTGCCAGCTGCTGAGCGGTACTTCTGTCCACATTTTTCAGTCTGGGCCTACAACAACAACAGTAAAGAGTAGTAACAGTGGCAGCAACAATGGTAACAACAGCAACACACAATATAATAATGGATGAGCCTTCTGCTAAGACACTTTTATTCAGCTTATACAGAAGAATTCTAAAAACTGCAGATGTTCTACATTAAAACAAGAGAAGAAAGAAACACTGTTTTCCCCTCCCAGCCCCTGCAGCATCTGATCATTTGCTGTCTTTAAATGCTTAGTCTAAAAAGGCTGTGCTAGCAGCATTTTCAATTCCCAATGGGAAATGTAGTTTGGGAATCAGTTTTGGAGCTCTGGAGTTGTAGAAAATTATTCTCTGTTGCATTCAGCCAGAAGTATAGTAATATGCTAAAAATACAAAGGTATCAAGAAAGCTTTTGAGAGTCCCTTTTGGAATACAGACATTCTGTGCTTGGAATCCTTCAGCCTCTTAAGCTCCTGAAAGCTGCAATTTTGTAGGACAAAAAACAAAAAAAAAGCATCTGCACGTGACAGTGTAAAGGTGTAAAAGGCCAGGATCCCAACTGTTGCAAACCTATGAATGCCAGTAAAATTTGGCATATTTCCCAACGGCTGGAATGCATAAGCGAAAAACCCCACATAACCTTATAAAAATGGCTTACAAAGTCTTTTCTGAATGCACTGCCGAACACACGCTATGGAATATAAATACTGGCCCACAGGACTGCATAATTTAAAAAAAGGTCTTAGAACAGTGTGAGTCTTACTATAGTCTTAGATTTATGCCATGATATTAAGCAATCAAACCAATTAATAAAGCATTGGCTCACATTCACATATGGTAAAATGTTCAGTTCATAACTTTAATAGAAACGCAAAGTGATATTGTTCATTATTTGGGAAACTAAACAAGATCTCCGTTATCAAGTCGGAAAGAAAAAAACAAGGAAGGTTTTGAGCAAACATGAATAGCTCCTTTTAACAGCCAAAATAGTTACTTTAAGAGACAGTATAGAAACAAAGCCTTAAAAGTTAAAATGCTCAAAGTAACTATTATTTATTTAGACAGTAGCAAAAGTATTTTCAGAGTTGCCGAAGTGAGGTACAACTCATGATCCACTTGAGCTGGAAAACAGCCAAGCTCAATAGTCTTTTGCCAGAAAGCAGACAATGTGGACATTAGTTCTTATTACCCACATTAATGAAGTAGCACCTGAAATAATTTGGTAGGCACTGAAGTTGGAGGTGAAAACTAACACTGTCAACTATCAGATGATTTTTGATATTGTAGCCTCTTTCATTGCTTATTGCTATTTTATAGTATAACAAATGGGATGACTGGAAAACTTAGAAGAAAGATTGTTTTTCTATACAGAGTGCCCCAAAGGTTAGTTGCACAGACCAATCACAATGTTTATTTTTTTTCAGAGAAAATGTTACTGTACTTTGAAATGTTCAACGGTTATGAGTTAAACAAGTAAATAAATGTTTAGAAGAAACTGGAAACCAGTTTGAACAATTAATTTATATAATAAATTGTCTATGGAGCCCGATTTGGATCTACTCTTTATATGCTACTGTCATCAAATATGCAAGATAACATTTCAAATTGTGATTCAAAAAACTTTGTGCAGGTCTATTGACTATTAGTCCAATACACCCAATATTAATGAACCAACAAAGGTAAATCTTGGGAATACACAGAACCACAAGGCATTTATTTCAGGGAAATCTTAACCCAAGCCATGGCAAAACATTCACCAATTATTTAATGAAATCTGAGAATTCTCCATGCTGCTGAAAGAACAAAGATAATCAAAGAAATCAAACTCCTACAGTGCCTTTCTTGACAGAAGTAAACAGATTGTTTCATTGTTTAAAATCAGCCTTCAATCTAGATTTAAAGAGGTTTATATTCCACCAATCATTCTGTCACATAACCTGGATCTCACCAGAAAGAAAAGCACTTGAAAACAAAGAGGGATTCAGAGGCCACTGTGAACAAGTGCAGTTCCATTCTTATAGCCAAAGCAGAGGCACAAACACACATTCATAATAGTCAATTACAATATTAACGCATAAGGGGATGTTATAATTTTAGACATATTTAGAAATATTTCCACATAAGGTATAGACAGTATAGAAAGGGCTCCTTGTAAGGGAGGCATTCATTACTTAAGCAGAGGCTTATTAACATGATGCTTAATGATTCTATGACTTTCTGGAGCCACTGAATAAATTGCCTCTCATTAAATGACTATTCCAAACTATTTGCAAAGATCAAGAGCACCTCCAAGGCACTATGATAAACTGTCCAGGAGGATGAAGCAACAACATAGTAGTATAATTCAGGAAAAGAGAGAATTCTGAAACTGGGGTAATACTCATAAGTAGAAATAAAACTTACTCAACAGGAATGGGTCAAACAAAAGGAGAGTGGGAGTGACATTACATATGAAAGAAATGCACACATGTATTGAGAGCCAGAAATTGGAACATGAGGTTCCTGACAAAAGCATTTGGGTAACAGAAGGAAGGGGGGAAAAAAAGTATTATTGTGATGGTGTGCTACATACTATCAAGGAAGAACATCAGGCTTATACGAACCTGGGACAGGTTACCGAATCTCAAAAGGAGAGACACAGTAATAATGGGAAATTTCAACTACCCAATAATCTGTTAGAAAAAACAACTGTGTCAAGAAGAGTAAGATCTTGAAATTACTCTGTATCTTGCTGACTGTTTCATGTTCCAGAAAGCTAAAGAAGAGACAAGATTTTCCTAGTCCTGTTTGTAATCAATAGGGAAGAGCTGGTTGAAAAAATAAAAGCAGTTTGAGAAGAAGTCACTTTGAGAAGAAGTCATGGCAACATCTTAAGGTTTAAGATACTATAGAAAGAGAAATTGGAAGACAGCTGTTTGTGCACAGTAGATTTTAGACAGCTAATTCAACAAGCTAGAGAAATATGATTTCTCAGGGAATACATGGCCACTGAGAAGAAGATTAAATGTCTACACAAGATTAATTACATCTGAGAGTCATCTCAGAACCCTCTTTTTGTGATTTTTGAATAATCATAGAGATCAGGCTAAGCATTGGAGAAGGACAAATATTGTTTCTATCTACATAAAAGGAAAAAATAAGAATCAGATTAATCAATGACAGTGATATTACATAACCTTCAGCTAGAACCGTTCATTTAACAATAGTTTGAACGTATGACCATCTTGGAATAACTGCTTACAATCTTTACTGGCATCATCCCCATGGTCATGTGATCGCAACCCAGGGTCTTAGCAATCAGCTTGCATTAACCATAGTTGCAGTGTTCTGTGATCATGTAATTGCTATTTGTGATTGTTCATTGAAGTTGGATTTGCTTAACGACCACATGCTTTGCTTAATGGTCATCATAAAAATGGTCATAAAATCAGATTTAATCATGTGGTAACTCAAGTTATGACTCCACTGATTTACAACTGCAGTTCCAGTTCTAATACATAATACTCTTTCCTCCTACTTATCTTACAACAACAATCCGGTGAGGTGGGTTAAGGTGAGAGGAAGTGACTGTTTAAGGCAGGACTAGACCTCCTGGTTTCTATGCCAGGACCTTAACCGCTACACTAAACTAGCTTTGTTTTGGATTGATCAAATTAATTTAAATTAAATTAAATCAAATCAAAATAAATTGGGTTGACCAAATCAATACTTCTACATTTCTACAAATTGGGTTGACAGCTGCCAATCAAAATCTCACTAGTACACAGTTCAATTTTCACTGGCTAACTGGTTGACTCAGGTTTCCATCCTTCCAAGGTTGGTAAAATCAGGACCCATATTGCTGGGGGGCATATGCTGACTCTGTAAAGCATTGTGAAGAGGTATATATGTCTAAGTGCTATAAAGTTCTGTGATTAATTGGAGGCAACTGATGATTTGGTTTAAAGGGTTCGTCTGCCAAATCCCATCTTGCTCTACTGAGCAGTAATACCTAAGTGAATATTATTAAATGGTTCTTCCCAAATTATTCACTCAGTTCTCAAACAAAACATTCAAATTAACCAATTCCTTCATATATAAACAGCAGACTAGAAGTTGACAGGGTAATCTAAAGCTATCCTAAGCCTATCTATAAATTTCTGTTGTCATGATCTTTAACTGGGCAAAATGGTACATCATAGGGCAACAAATTTTGAACCAAAGCAGTTCAAATGGGCTAACTTCTAAAATGAGTCCAAAACGTGGGACCCATGACTCCTGAGGAAATTAAATTTGGAAAAGATATGGTTGATACTGCACCTGTAGTTACCTGATCTTCATTTTCAACATGTGACAAAATCCTGGCCAGTTTTGCACTTTCTTGTTCCCTTTCCTATATTATTATTATTATTATTATTATTATTATTATTATTATTATTATTATTATTATTATTATTATTATTATTATTAGAATTTATATACCGCCCTATCTCTCTTACGGGACTCAGGGCGGTGAACAGGCGATAATAAAAACCACAATAAATATACTCAAGTTTCTGTTCTAAAATCAAATTAAATAACAGGCCTGCTCTAAAAGTACCCCATACAAAACCCCCACTAAAACATAATCAAACTACGCCAGGCCGGCCGCACGGAATAGATGGGCCTTCAGGGCTCGGCGAAAAAGGCGCAGGTCCGCAACTGTACGTAGGTCGGGGGGGTAGGTCATTCCAGAGCCATTTACCTGCCTGCTGGAATGGAAGAGAAGAGAAGGGAATCTGCTTCCTATCAGATTCCCACAAGGAAATACCATGTATCTCCAAAAATAAGATCAGGTCTTATATTAATTTTTGCTCCAAAAGATGCATTAGGGCTTATTTTCCTGTTAGGTCTTATTTTGGGGAAAACACAGCACTAAATGCGTGCGTCCATCTGACTGACGATCTTAACTGGGGCTTTTTTTGGGGGTAGGGCTTATATTACAAGTGTCCTGAAAAATCACGCTAGGGCTTATTTTCTGGCTGGGTCTTATTCTTGGGGAAATACGGTACAAAGGGAAATCTGGAAATCTGTCCTGCTTCCATTGGGTTTTTTGCCTACTCGTGGTCTTTTTGTTTCTGTTTAGGTAAGGAAGTATCTCTGAAAGGATTACCCAACAAGGCCCAGGTTGTCTACTAGCTTTTAAAGATAACAAAATGGCAGCAAAAAAAAAATAATAATTCTGCTTTTATTGTTCTAAACTTTGCTTGCCCTATTTCTCTTATTTCTACTACACTCTCTTGCCAAAACACTTATGGATTTTGTATTCTCAAATCTTCTATCATCCATCTTGGTTTTCAGAGTTGTTACAACAGACAGTTTCAATCTAGCTGTGATGCTTCAGAAAAGCCAAATAGCTGTATCTTATTTGTTCTGATTTTGAAAAATTTAGACCTGATGGAAATGCAGGCTGAAGAAAGTCTGCTTTCACTTTATGGGTAAGATAGAATTTCAAGCCAGGGCTTGAATAGCTCAGTATCAGCCTCTAAACTGTCTAGGTAGTTTAGCAGCAGCCCTAGAGGACGGCTGCTAGAGGAGGGGCACATTTACTGCAGGCTTCTTATAGCTTAAGTAGATAGAATATCTAAAAATTATGTCACAAAGACAGAAAAACGACACAGAAAAAATGGAAAGACTATTCCACCTCTCTTTAAACCAATAAAGCTTTGCAGTACTTGCCAGCAGTGTGCTGCAGCTGCCAAAAAGGCCAACACAGTGCTAGGCTGCATTAACAGAGGGATAGAATCAAGATCACGTGAAGTATTAATACTACTTTACAATGCCTTGGTAAGGCCACACTTGGAATACTGCATCCAGTTTTGCTCACCGCGATGTAAAAAAGATGTTGAGAGTCTAGAAAGAGTACAGAGAAGAGCAACAAAGATGATTAGGGGACTGGAGGGTAAAGCATATAAGGAAAGGCTGCTGGAATTGGGTATGTCTAGTTTAATGAAGAGAAGGAAGAGGGGAGACATGATAGCAGTGTTCCAATATCTCAGGGGCTGCCACAAAGAAGAGGAAGTCAAGCTATTCTCCAAAGCGCCTGAAGGCAGGACAAGAAGCAACGGGTGGAAACTAATCAAGGAGAGAAGCAACCTAGAACCAAGGAGAAACTTCCTGACAGTTAGAACAATTAACCAGTGGAACAACCTGCCTCCAGAAGCAGTGAATGCTCCAACACTGGAAGTTTTTAAGAAGAGACTGGACAGCCATTTGTCCAAAATGGTATAGGGTTTCCTGCCTGAGCAGGGGGTTGGACTAGATGACCTCCAAGGTCCCTTCCAACTTTTTATTATTATTATTATTATTATTATTATTATTATTATTATTATTATTATTATTATTATTNCACTGGAAGTTTTTAAGAAGAGACTGGACAGCCATTTGTCCAAAATGGTATAGGGTTTCCTGCCTGAGCAGGGGGTTGGACTAGATGACCTCCAAGGTCCCTTCCAACTTTTTTATTATTATTATTATTATTATTATTATTATTATTATTATTATTATTATTATTATTATTATTATTATTATTATTATTATTATTATTAAAACACTGATAAGATTTAAAGAATTATCACAAATATTATCACAAGCCTCAAAGTCGTAAATTAAAGGATGAACTGCAGGGAAAAAAAAAAACTAAAGAAAAGTTCCTTTATTTCTATAACCTTATTATACTCAGGGCAATTTTTTATGTTAAAAAGTTACCTTGAGGTGTGATTTGAGTCACTGGTCTTTGTTGTATTTCCAGACTGTATACTGTTTGCTTCACTAGGAGGATCTTTCACAATATCTGACTTTGGTCTGAAAGAAAGAATGCCAGATGAAAAATTAACACATTATAAAGATACTGGTATTCTGGGAATATCATTCCTGACACTGGGATAATTGGTAACCTAGAGGTAAACTTTCATATATACATACACACAGATACGTTATTATATAATGGATGCAGGCAGGTTTTATGCATTATTCATCTATGAAGCAATGAGAATAACTCAATAAAGTCATATGGACAAGAAAAGAAAAGAAATTCATGCTAATAGTTTTTAATAAGAATTATATTTCTTCCTACTGTGGGAACATTTGAAATTTAATTTAAAATTTAACTATGAAATGCGGGCAGCATCCAGGAAAAAGTCATGTAACTTGAATTAAGTAGTAGAGATGACATGGGGAAGGAGAGAATTACTGTGTGATCACAATTTAGAAACCATTGCAAATTAGCATTAAGAATTCGTCAAAAATTCGTCTAGAATTTCAAAGCTGGGAGAACAGGTATGTACATGTATAAGAGCTACAGATACAAATATGTTTGTCCGCATAACTTTTAATGGGTGATCCAGAAACATACTTAGTCTTCTTGTTGGTATTCTTCTTTATAACACTTTGACTAACTTCTTTTTCTTTGTCTGTTTTTTTCTCTTCTTGCTTTTCCACTTTTTCTTTCTTTTCCTTTTTAGGAGGTGGTGGGGTAGCATATTGCTGAGCAACTTGCTGTGCTACAAGCTGAGAATTTATCCTAGGTTTCCTATAAGATGAGAGGAAATAGAAAAGAAATGCTCATCGTCAGTGACTTTATTAAAACAAATGGGCAACTGGTGAAAAAAATATCAATAAAAGAAGTGTTTTACCAAGTAAGCAATGCTTAATCTTAACTAGCAAAAGTGTAAGGTCTAAAATTTTAAAACACTACATTCACCAAAATATTGAACATCCCTTATATTAAAATAGAATTCTAGTCCATGCTTGTTTTGAAGAACACGCATACATTTTTCAAAAATATATGAATGTAATAATTCAATTTAAGATGTGCAAGTATGAAGTTGTACTCTATGGGCCACTGAAAGCCAAGAAACCGTACTCTGTACATCATGAACTTTTCAAAGTCATTTCATTCTTTTGTTACATGGACATTGCTATTTTGTTAAACAACTAAGAATAGAGTTAGTCATGTCTCATTTAACTATAATTCATCAGAATAAATCCATCTTCCTTAAATTTAAAAGACTGACAATTACAGCTTAGTCTGTCAATCAGAGAGCAAAGTTAAAAACAAACAATACATTCAGAGTGTCATAATTAGAAGTCATGTCTCTACCAGCCTCCAACTGGTACTGATTCTGAACAGTATTTTCTGTAATTATTATAACATACTGACACTTAAAGCTGAGAGCAACTAGAAAACTACAATTTGCAAAGACTTTTTTTAGAGTTTCTGCAAACAAAAGACATAACATTGGCCAGTCATCATCACTAAGAAGGAACCACTATGTGGCAGCTAGTAACCTATAATCCAAGAGTAGGAAAACAAAGTTCATAAAGTCTTTGATTCAGGTCACGGTTCCTTTCTTGGCTATATTCTGATCACCAGATTTTTAAGGATATGACAGAACTGGAAAAGTGCAGAAGTGTGCTACAAAAATGACTGAAGGTTCAAAAATCTTCCTTTTGGGAAAATACCATTTGGAATGTTTTAGTCTGGAAAAAGATTTGACAGGAGATGTTATTGAGGTGTGTACAATCACACGTGACTTCTTGAAGAACTGTAGTGAAGGAGAACTTGCCACCTCATGTAACAGCATGTTCCCTCATTGGCAGCTTGTACAGACAGAACACTCCTCCCGATATCTACCCGGAAGTCTTTCCTTTAGTTTTAACCCAATCTATTAATCTCTGGAGCAATAGGGAATAAGTTAATTTCTTCTCCTGTGTGACAGCTCTTCAAATATTTTAAGATTACTATTGTATCAACTTTCTCTTCTGTGGGCTAAAAATACCTAGATCTTTTAATCATTCCTCACAGGGCTAGGTTTCAAACCTTTCACTATCTTATTAGTTTTCAGCTCCACTAGATATACTAGACCAGTGTTTCTCAACCTTGGCAACTTTACGATGTGTGGACTTCAACTCCCAGAATTCTCCAGCTAGCAATGCTAGCTGGAGAATTCTGGGAGTTGAAGTCCACACATCGTAAAGTTGCCAAGGTTGAGAAACACTGTACTAGACCATGAAATCAACCCCACAGGATGTCTACAGCAACTTTGTAGCCCCATTGCCTTACCAACAGACAGCTTATCTCTGAAACATCATCCTTCTTAGTGTCTACATTAGTACTGCTCTGAATTTGCTCCAATGTTATTGTCATTTTTGAATGTGGTGAGAATGTGGCCAGAATTGGACACAGTACTTCAAACAGAATCTAACCAGGACAGGATAGAATGCAGCACTTACTTCTTGTAATTTGGACCCTCTGTTCCTGTTGTTGCACTCCAAGACAATACTTGCCTTTAACAACTGCATTACAGTGGCCTACAAGGATACCCATATACTTTCCATAAAGGTAAAGGTTCCTCTGTCCAGTTGTGTCTGATTCTAGGGGGCAGAGCTCATTTATGTTTCTTAGCCAGGGAAAACAGTGTTGTCCAAAGACACTTTCGTAGTCATGTGGCCAGAATGACTATATACTGAGGCACAAGAACTCATATTTACTGTCAAATCAGAATACATCTGGTAGAAGAGCTTACTGCTAACAGAAATCCCAATTAATATTGAAAACAATTCCTTACACCGATATTTTTTTTGTAAAATGAATTAAAGATCTGTTAACCAACTACAGGCAGTCCTTCTTGACTTACAATCAGTCACTTAGTCACCGTTTGAAGTTCTGAGAGACCTACAGGAGGGAACACTTACTACCTGGATTCAATGATTGTTGCCTATGACATGATCACGCTTTGAGCGCTCATACCATACAGTCCAGTGTTGGCCACTCCACATTGATGTTATGTTAATGGCACCTGACTAAAGATAAATTTAAATAAATATAGGTGTTGCTTTAAATTGAATTCCTAATTGGGCAGGATGAAATGGCACTTTTCACTTTTTAAGCTTCTTACTTTGCCTTAAATTGGTAAGAATATTGTTGAGAAAATACCTAGCCCACATTTGTTCTCTTCTCCCGATGCTTCATCCTCCAAATACCTTCTTCAATATATTCCTATTCTTCATGCTTAATTTTATTTCCTTCAATTAAATGGGTCCTCTATCCCATTACTTTAAAACAATCAGGAACTTTGTCTTGAATTAAATCACATTGGCAGGACAAAATAAGAACTTTGTTTTCCTTCACAAAAGCTGAACTGCAAACTGTTTCATATGCTGAGCAAATAAACATTTTGTGCCTTTATACTATTCACTGATCGTTGCCAAAGACTTCATACTTCAAGTAAGTAAAATACAGATGTCTTCAATAGAACTTCACAATTTGTGCAATTACAGGTAGTCCTTGACATTTAGTGCCTGTTCCAAGTTACAATGACACTGAACAAAGAGAGTTATGACCATTTTTCACACTTATGACTTTTGTAGTATCCTCATGGTCACATGTTCAAAATTCAGACACTTGGCAACTGTTTCATATTTATGACAGTTGAAGGGTTCCAGGGTCATATGATCACCTTTTGTAACCTTCTGACAAGCAAAGTCAATGGGGAAGCCAGATTCACTTAACAACCATGTTACCAACTTACAAACTGCAATGATTCACTGAACAACCGTGGCAAGAAAGTTTGTAAAATGGGACAAAACTCACTTAACAAGTGTTTCGCTTAGCAACAGAAATTTTGGGCTCAACTGGTTGTAAGTTGAGGACTACCTGTATAAGCTAAGAATTAGATATATAACATTTTGCAGTATTATTGTATTTATATCCAAAATATTAGAGTCACAATTTTAAGTGAATTAATACAATTAAGAATGCTATCTAAATTAAAAGAAAGAAAATGTACATGGCATAATATCATAAGCATGAGAGTACAAGAATTTTTGAGACTTTTATTGCTTCAATATATACAAAAGAAAAAGGAACAGACATTTTGAAACACAAAAAAGAAAACGTCTTTGTATTTCTGCATTTTTAAAACAACAGAATAATTTTTAAATACACAATTAAAGTATGGGGACCTTGGTTGTTTACTTGCAGAATTTCATTGCTCAACTAGATAACATCGTGGATGCTCGAAAGGAGTGGGGTTTTCTCAGATAAACAATCAAATAGCAAACAACAACCTAATCATCAAAGAACCACCAAGATCATTCTCCCCAACACTGAGAGGGAAGACACTTGTATATAAATAAATAACAAAGTCCACTCCTTTTTAATGTTACCTAGTAGGGTAATGAAATGTCTTGCAGCAAATAATCAAGCTCAGAGAGCATCAAGGACCCCACAGTTCAACCCTCTGCTACAAATATATCCTTCTAAGGTCCCTTCCGACTCTGCTGTTCTATGTTCTTTATTCTATTGGCATATCATTAAACCTTCATAGGTTTAATACTGATCAGTGTTTCCATTAATTAATATACAACATTAAAACCAACCATTAGAACAATTCAAATAATTTGACAGACAGCAAACACATTTTGACAATCCATCAGCCATATTGTCTTTTCAACAGTTAAGAGTTAACTGTGCTGTCCCTCGTTTACAATTCCTGATATGGGTACAGAAGCGTCTAAAGTCACTGGCATCAAAATGGATTGTGCAACCTGGCAATAAGCCTAATCCTTTTTAACACTTGTCACATACATTGCACACATATGGAAATGGGTGGTTTGCTTGATCATGCATGTTATTCTATGGCTTGTGACCTTCGCTGTGGGTGCCCTCATACAGTGACAAGTGTGTGAGATGGTCTTTACAAGTTTATATTTTACCCATTTTAAATTTCCAACAAAACAAAATTGACTACAAATTCTTTTTGCATGCCCAATAAATGTGAAAAAAATTCAATTGACTAAGTTTTATCTTAAGATCATAAAAATCATACAATGTAGGCATCTGCAGAACGTTAAAGTCTTGTATCATAAGTTATATGCATACCTACAGGGATATGCATGGATGCCATACATAAAAGGGATAGGAGCTTGCACCATGATGCTGCTGTTACATTATTTAATGTGGGATATTGTAATTTTTTAATTCAGGGGTTTTGCAAATAACTAATATTTTGCAAACAACTTATATCAATCTTAACCAATATAAGCCACTTAGAATCCAGTCACCTCTAGGCACCATGGGCAGCTTGTAAATTTAGCAAATAAATAATACTCTTTGCTTTATTAAAAATACACTACAGTTGGAATAATCCAAATCACATTTTAAAACAAATAATTTAGGAGGTTGGCACCTGGGCCAACTGTAAAACCAAGATATATTTAAATGTTGCAATGATAGGCAATCCAAATTCCTCTTGTAATAACTAAATGCTTGGCAATTAGACTGATCTAATATTTTAATATGTCAATCTGCCTTTGACTACAATCAATCAGAAAGATTTACTTCAATTTTCAAATATGAATTATCCCAAGGTGTAACTCATATGAATAATGACTGAAATTATATTTTCATCCTAATAGCTGCAAATATCATGTGCAGCCTTTCATGAAGTAAATTCAAGAGAGCTACTAATACAAATGAAACCAAGTCCCTGCCATTATGTCTAAGCAATAATTCTGCTCCTAGTGATT